CCCTGCCCTGAGTGTGGATTTTTCCTCACGGTTACCAGTGGGCTGCTGTCCCTCTAGGCAGGGCACGTCCCAGGTCAGCAGAGAGAGACAGAGAGGCTGGTCACATAGCACCCTTTGCCTGGCACCCACCAGAGTTCCAACCTCCCATGAGGAAGGCGGGTGCTCAATATAAATCACAATGTTTGCATAAACAATGTAGGTGCAGGGAGCCCCTCTTATTGGGGAATGGTGGGGCACTCTCTAAATCCCAGGTCCCAGATGCTGACCAAGGGGCCAACCTGCTTTACAGGTGGGACTTTCTGAGGCTAGCAATCACTGGCCCATTGTGTTTCTTGTTTGCTCAATACCATTCTATTATTACCTGTTAATTAGCTTTCTTAGTTACAAAGCTAGGAATATTAACATCTATTTTGCAGAGTTATTAGGGGTTAAATGAAATCATCATCTCATACACCATATTTAGTATCTTTTTCCCTCTCCTATGTGACTGCCCACATTCACAGAAAGGGCGAAAGCCAACAGGGCCCCAGGAATTACGGTCCTCTTCCTGCCCTCGACCTTTCATTCACTTAGAATCTCAAGACTTTGGAGCAATGTAAGCATCACTCACTGCTAGCTAGGAGGGATTGTTATAAAGACACACACACACACATCAAAAGACTTGCAGAGTCTGCTGACTGGCTCAGGTTGGGGGCACGGTGCACACGGCCCCTCATGCACCTCCCACCCACATTCCTTCTCTTCAAGACCAGCATTTATACAGGAGTCCCTCAGCAATAGTGATTCTCATGGCGGGGGTTGTGGGGGTTGCCTCATGCCTGCAACCCCGACACCCACCCTCACGGCCAAGAACCACTTCCCAGCCAAAGCAATCAATGCCTGGAAATCACAGTCACCACATGCAGCAACTTTAGCCTCAAAGATCCTTACAGGGGACAAGCCCTTGGTGACAGGGGACAAGCTTGATGGCCCTGCACCCCACACAGCACAGAGCCCGGGGCCCAATGTGCCAGGGAGCCAACAGAAAGGCCGCACATTGCTGCCCACCCTCCTGGCCCTCAGAGGAAACGCGAAGCTTAGGCCTCCGTCAGGGCTGCCTGCTCCCCATGTCCCTGGCCCCCGCCCCCTACCACTCCCTGGTGGCGGAAGGCCAGCTCTGACTTACATGGTGAGCACAGGGGGTTGGCTGTGTAGAAGTTCGGGAAAAGCATGCCCTCGGCGGCCATCCGGTCCAAATTCGGAGTCTCTCTGGAAGGCTCTCCATATACCCCTAGGTCGCCCCACCCCATCTGCAGGAAAGAGCATGGAGAGGTAGATTAACCCTCCTTCCACCTTGGGGGCCTNGTGGCCACGTTGCAGGTGCCCTGCTGCCAGGTCCTGGGCAGGACCAGGGCAATCCTGGGGCCATCCGCTCTTCAGATGGCGGCTCGCTCTTGGCAGGCTCACAAGTAGGGTTCATCCTATCATGTCATCTGTGATGCTGCCGATTTCCTCAATGCCTAGCATGCAGCCAACCTGCCAACTTGGTGCAGGCAGACTGCCTCTGAAGCTGGAGCCCAGGACCTGCCAACGGGCTGCATGGGCCTGAGCCCAGAAACCATGTGAATGGCTACTGTGTGAATACACCTTGTTCTGGGAAGCATCGTTGGCTCTCATATTTTCTAAAAAACCTGAGAGACCTCATAGGGGTGGCTCAAGCGGTGGCCTAGGCTGAGTCCTATAAGGCTCTGGGCAGGACAACCAGCTGGCAAAGCAGGACCTGGCCCACTGGGATGCCAGCACTGGTGGGAAGGTGCTTCCAGAACCTCCATCCAGCTCCCGGGCAGCCCCAGAGGGCAGGGGCTGGGCTCAGCATCAAAGGGCGGGAAGGAAAGGGACCGTTACCTGCCGACCATCTCCCAGTCCCGGTACACAGGGATGTTAGGCCTGACCCTGTTGTCATAAGGTCCAAAGTGACAGTTGGGGGATCCAAACCACTCATCAAATCCGTGCTTCAGCGGGTGGAACTGAGACCTGTGGCCCAGATGCCTAGAAACAGGAACCCAGGACACTTCAGGGAGCCCCGCATGCGGACACACCAAAGCTCTGAGCAGCAAAACCCTATATCACTTTCACAGAACATTTAATGAAGCAAGCATCCCTCCAGCACCCAAAGCGTGCTAAGTCTGGGCACAGCAAGACCTCACCCTCCAGGAGATGTCAGGCCCTCCCACCCTCTCCTGGTGATGCTGCTAGGCTACAGCCAGGGGTCACAGGCTGGGACAGCACAAGGACCGGTGCTCACCAACCCAGCACCCTGGTGAGGAATGGGGATGGGCATGACTAGAAGAAAAGATGGCAATGTGCCCACAGGGTGACAACTGCCAAGCTGTTTGGAAAGCCCGGTGCTCTGCAAGTTCCTGCCACACATTGCGGGTGTCATCTGAAGCTGAGAGAGCCCCTTGCCCTGTGCTCCCGTATCCCCATGCCCCTTCCCTTTGGGGGCACCTAATATTAGGTCCCCCAGCCAATGGGAGGTACTGACACGCTCCCATCCAAATCGGGTTCCAGGGTTCCTTGAGCATGGCCCCATCTGTTCTTTGTAACGCAGGGCTTGCAGAGGTGGTTCTGCAGCGCAGTGGCTCTGGGTCCCAGTCCCTGTGGAGTGAGCTGACTCCACTCTGGAAGGTGGATGGGTTCCTTAGGTTTTCATTTGCAGAAAGCCTCTTGCGGCGATGTGTGTTTGGAAAGCCGCGTCCCTGGAGCAGAGGGTCCTGTTGCTCTGCTGCACTTGGGCAAGCCCCACCCTGACCGCTCAGAGGCCCTGCAATGGGTCACGCCAAGCCCAGGTCCCCGTAAGCTCACTGCTCTGCTTAGCCACTTGGTGAGAGAATGCAGTGTGGGGCAGTGGGGGAGGCTGGGCCGGACACGGGCCAGAACCAAGCCAGCCAGCATCTGAGTCCGGGTGATATTAAGTGCATCTCTTGGGGCCTCGGTTCCCCACTGCTGGTTCTAAAACGTTCTGCTTCCAGGCAGCTGCCTGGCACCCACCTTGGGCCTTTCCAGCCTCTCTGACAGGTATGTGAGTGTCGGCTCTGCTGTGACCTCTCTCTGCGCTTATGTTTCCTGTTTTGTGACTTTCTGTGTCTTCTCTGGGCTGTTGCTACATGTCCATGCCCTTCTCAATGCCTCGCTCCGGCACCGGCTGTGTGCCCACATCCAACAGCTCAAATTCTGTTAAGCAAAGGCTTAACAGAAACGCCAGCCAAGGTCCCGCTCATGTGAAACTGTCGATTCAAAATGCTTGTCCCAAAACAGCAGCGGGGCCAGCCTTGCCTGAAGGTGAGCTTGAGCGGCAGGGTATCGCAGCCCCAGGGACTCAGGGCAGATGGAGGAACCTCTCACAGGGGTCCAGGTTCCGTCCACCCCAGGTGTTGGGTAGGCTGAGGAAATCCAGGGCAGTCATAGCCAAGTCAGCCAACACTCTCCACTAGTGCTGTTTCGACGGGACCCCACTGAGACTGGGACCTCCCCCTGGCTGAGGAGAGGCTGAGATCTCTGCCCCAGGCCTCCCAGAGCCTGTCCTTACTCTGGCCAGGGTTGCCATGA